TGGGTGGAGTACTAGGGAGCCGCAAAATTTGTGTGTACATTGTGCCACTAAATGTATATCCACTGTATTTAAATATTAAAGCTTAGAGCACCATGACCACTTAATTAGTACAAATTGATCACAGTCCATATATGCAGCATTTTGCATACATTGCATACATGGAGATAAACTCCACTTCTAGGGGCATTATTTGGGTGTCATTAGCCAGCCTAGATCATTCATTCCAGGTGGCTAAGGTGAATTCTGTGCAAATTTGATGTATTTCTTGCGGGAGAAGATTAATGATGACACGTTGTATTCCTTCTTTTCTTAAACTGTAGAGGCTTGGTTTCTAAAATGTTATGACTATTCTCCATTAACAACAAATTCCTTCTTTTTTGGCTGATATTTTGATTTTTCCTAATAAAAATTGTAATCTGCTAGAATTGGTTTTAATTTTTTTCTATTGCTCAAAAACATGATAGCCGTTGGATGTCTGACCATATCTGGAGGTCATATGTGAAAATGTGTGGATATTTTATTAGGAATTCTGAATTTGTATTAATATATATAACTTTGATTACAATGCTAAATATTTCACATGCTTGCTATAAACAAATTGACATTTCACTCAAAAAAAAAAAACATACACGGTTCTCCTTTCCTTAACTTTCCAAACAAGTATACTCTCATATACATTTATCCACTCTAAACAATGCAATATCTCAAAGAAAAATGTATATATGGCCATTGTCATAATATTGTTAAGTGCTTACACTAGAATGTCCATTAACCCTTAGATTTAATACATTGACAAACAATTTCTTTTATGTGGCACTTGGTTTAATCACATTTATTAATTTCCAGTTTAGCAAATTGCCATTCTTGTACTTGAATATCCAACAGCTGTGAATCAACCAGTTGGCCATCTCTTCCGTGCACAGAATGTTTAAATACATAATTGTGTTGCCATAGCTACTGTACTGATTTCTACATCAGTTTAATAAGAGGGGGGGGGGGTGCTTTACACCACACTAGCTCTTCACACATTGAATTTTAGGTAAGGTATATTATGAGCTGTTTATAAGTGGACTGGTATCCAACAGTTAGAACGTTTGCAGACCACTTGATGGGAGAATTATACCTGTCTTACAGCTATAGGTGTGATCTTTAAATAACTGATACATAGCCTTTATTTTCACTCCTATTATTGACACGAGACACTTATTGTTTCTGAAACAACAATAAATTGCTGTTTATAAGTCTAACAGATACTGCCTGACATTTTACAGCAAATCCAAGAATTTGGAATGTGTAAATATTTTTTCTTTTGTATTTTTTACTATTTTATTTTGTATATATTAGAACTGCCTTATGATTTTCCATCTTCAGAATGGAAAATATCTTTAATAAATAAAGTTGTTTTTCAACTCCTCTCTATATAATTTTTATGTACTGCGACACACATAACACTATAAAAGCCAACTACTGCTGTTTATACAGATGTATACCTGTACTTGACCTCCAAACCAACATGTTGAATCTCAAGCAGAGATACGGTTTACTCCTTGTTGTAGTTATTCCAACTATAATTGAATTTACACAAGAACCAAGTGATTATTTGTAGAAAATCATATAAAAGTATTTTATTAAAAAGGTTCTATTTTTAGGTTTACAGTTATTTAATCATGCTAAATATCTCAATTAAATGTTTATTTTTATATAACGCTAAAAATATTTTAATAATAGCAGAATGTTTAACCATAATCATCATAAGTGTACTTTCTTTTTATTGAACAAACTAAAAAATAGCAAAACACATTTTATATATTATAAATGCAGTAAATTACAATGCAAACTTGAAACATAATAAAAAAACAATTTGATCCTGCAATAAGCATCAGGCAATCTCTTCATCTTTGGCAAAATGAGGGTCTATATATTATTTATCAATGTCTGGGTATAACAGCACACCCGTTCTACTTATCTATCATAGTTATGCGATTATAACTGATAGCATAAGGTTCGAGGGTCAAGTGATAGTTGCATAAAAGAACAATCTACATGAATTCATTACTTAAAGCCTTGTCATCAAATGTGCATAATGTAAAGACATTTATGTTTAACATAATCACTGTGTATGCCATCTGGATGTAAGTGTGCCTCTGCATTAAATGCTCCTTTTTTTGTTAAATATAAATTGTATTTACATCACTACATTGTTATTCATATATTTTATCATTTGTTATCTAATTAACTCTCTCTCTCTCTCTCTCTCTCTCTCTCTCTCTCTCTATATATATATATATAGTGTTCTTATGTTTATCAATACATTCAATCAAGGCTCTTTGAAATATTTTCTGGCTTTATAATAGTAGGGGGGCGGGGGGAGGGGGCTTGTACAAGAAAATGTACCACAAAAAAAGCAATCACAAATTGAGTCATTCAGATTGGAGCTTGTAAATGTACTGACAGTATTTTAATGGTATCTGCCAGAGCAAAATTAAACTATCTTTGCTTGGAACTCAACCAAGATGAAAAGCATTATTACTCTTGGTCATAGATGAATAGAATCAATGGTCCGCTCTTTGCGATCTCTAAAATTGTGTAACACAATCTTTATTGTATCCCTTTTTCAATTACTGGGCTCCATGAGCCTTTAAAAGAAAGACTCATAAAATCCATAAAAAAAAAAAAAAAAAAATTATATATATATATATATATATATATATAATATATATATATATATATATATATATATATATATAAAATAAATTAACAGTTTGCGTTTGCTGAAAATAATCATTGAGGTGAAGTGAGTATCCTTTGAGACCTTGTTTTTCAAGATAGTCCTGCAAATGAAACAAAGAGACAAATAGATATAAGATTTGTTTCAACTCCGTACTGTGCAGAATTGACAAGGGAATTTCAATTTTTGTGGCAATAGTCGATTTGAAAAAATAGCCCTGCTAGAGATGTTTTCCATTTCATCTAATTTGTCCATTCAATGAGAACTGGCATCAGTTCTGATGATGGGTAATAGATGATGCCTGCTCACATTGGTCCATTATCATCTGTAGTCTTTGTATCAGCCCAATGATGTACACGCACTTGGACATTTTGGAGATGCAAGAGTGATGCAGTTTAATAATGGTATTTTACCTCTTTCTGCATTTATACTGGATACTGACTGTTCTTGTGGTTTCTTGTATACTCAACATGACAATTTGCATTTGCAACTTTCTGGCTCCCTTTGATATTGGATTTTGTCTACTCTTTGTCTACATCCTGTGGACTGGTAAAATAGGTCTATCCTTATCCATTATCTTTTTCATCCTTGCATACTATCCCAAATCCCTATGCACATTTAAATAACTGGAGGTTGTTTAGTATCGCTCCAACGGCCATTAAAGGACCACTATAGGCACCCAGATCACTTCAGCTTAATGAAGTGGTCTGGGTGCCAGGTCCAGCTAGGTTTAACCCTTTTAATTTTTTTATAAACATAGCAGTTTCAGAGAAACTGCTATGTTTACCTGTAGGTAAATTCAGCCTCTAGTGGCTGTCTCATTGACAGCCGCTAGAGGGCTTCCGCGCTTCTCACTGTGAAAATCACAGTGAGAAGACGTCAGCGTCTATAGGAAAGCATTGATAATGCTTTCCTATGGACTGGCTGAATGCGCGCACGCGCGCGGCTCTTGCCACGCATGCGCATTCAGGCGATGACTGAAGAAGAGGGAGGAGAGGAGGAGTACAGTTCCCCGCCCGGCACTGGAGAAAGAGGTATGTTTAACCCCTTCCACACCCATAGAGCACGGCGGGAGGGGGACCCGGAGGGTGGGGGCACCCTCAGGGCACTATAGTGCCAGGAAAACGAGTATGTTTTTCTAGCACTATAGTGGTCCTTTAAACTGTAAGGTCATCTGCCACATCAAAGCAAAACCTCTAAGTCCTACACTAACAATCCACCTTGCTTCTTTCACCTAAAGGCAAACTCAAACAATTTAAGAGTATCTTTATAATGAGTAAATTTTTATTTTTGCATATTTTAATGTTTTATTTTGGTATCGGCATACCCCACCAACTTAAAATACGTAATGTACATCAATCTCACAGAAACCTCCACTGTGTTGACCTACAGCAATTTCCCACCAATATCCAAACTCCTCTCCAACCTCACAAGTCTTAGCTCTGCAACCTTCCTTTGTAACTCCACCTTTTCCCCTGAACTAGACAACATGGCACCTCCTACATTTAAACATAGTAATAGACCCCAGTTGAAATCTTGCATACTAAGCTAATCGGATACTGCTGAATGCTAATCCATACTTGATTTCCTCCACTATAAATGCATGCTATGCTCCTACAGTTTAACTCGTTCTTCTGCCACAAGAAAACTACTTGAATATGTTTATAACTACACTCTCCCAATAATTAAAAAGCCTCTGTCACACATTAAAAGCTATTTTTAAACCTGATGCTACCCATACTAACTTGTCAACTTCAGACTTGTCCACTCACTTCACTGAGAAGATGCTGCAACCCGGGAATAGATCTCAAATCTCTTTTACCCCTTCCAACACTTCTCTTATATCATACAAACACAATGGATGGAGCAATTTTGTTCTTTCCTCTTCTCCAATATATTGCTGCAGAGATAGAGAAATATGCAAAATAGTATAGACAGTTTACAATATATATTAAAGGGCAATAAGTGCAAGGAAACACTCACAAAATCAGAGCCAAGGAACCTGGCTCTGGTGTGGATGACTTCTGGATCTATTATGGGGTGATCCTAACCCTTTCTGTAGCTGGTATGGTCTCCAATAAGTAGAAGAGGATCCAGAGGGAGGAATAATAAAAATCTACTTTATTACAAAAATATATACATAAGATAATAAGTAAAATATGGAAGAATAAAATATAAGTACTAAATGATAAGCCAATACGCGTTTCGCCAATTGTGGCTTCCTCAGTCAGCTTTCAACAATACAGTCCAGATAATGTCCTTATATAAGTCCTCAATACCTTGTATTTTGCGGGAAAATCCGTTGTGGAACGCATTCATGCGTTCCATACCTCCGTTTGCATTCATTTCCTACTTCCGGCGGCGTCAATGCTGTGACGTCACTTCCGCATTCTGACGTCACTTCCGGGGTTTCTCTCCGAGTGGAACGCATAGTGCGTTCCACTTGTTCTGCTGTCTCCGGCTCTCACAACAGGGAACTCCAATGGAACGCATATATGCGTTCCAAAGCTCCCACTAGTCTCCCTCCACATCGCAATGCTTCATACATTTTCGGTTCCCACAATAGGGCACAAATATATGTTCCAAACTCTTCTTAGTTTCTCTCCACACACCATATCTCATGTACATAAGGACACTTCTCTTATATCCTATGCTCATTCATACCTGCTGCAGAAGAAAAGCTTTCTGCCTGGTGTTGCTCCTCCTGCCTCACTGCCTGTTCTTTCAAAACTATTCCCTCATATCGTATTCACACTCTGTCTTCTTTTCTTGCTCTGCCTCTCACTTACATATTTAATTTCTCTCTTTCCTCTGGTGTATTTCCTGCACCCTGCAAGCATGCAACCATAACCCCTATTCTAAAAAAGCCCAACCTAAACACCCCATCCAACAATTGCCCTATCTCTCTACTACCGATCGCAGCAATGACTATACTACACATCAGCCAAAATACATATAGTAAAAACCAAAAAAAGGTTACATGCGCTCTTTCCACATCCCTATGTATTTTTAAACAAATGGAGGTCTTAAGTTACCTCCAATGGCCATGAGAGGGTATGCCCACCTGCCACGTCAAGGCAGACCTCTTTGTTTAAAAATACATAGGGATACGGAAAGAGCGCAGGTAACTTTTTTTTTTTAACTATATATATTTTGGCTGTGTACTATATTCATTGCTGCCGCCCAGGAGTAATGGGAGTTTGAGCGCAGGACTAGTTTCTTTGGACTAAAATCCATATATATTAAGTGTATCCACCGGAAATCCTTGTGCAGCCAATTTGTAATAGGTCCCAATGGCATAAAGTGTGGGAAGAACATGTATTCAAATAGATAGCAGTGGAAAAAAATAAAAAAAATAAAATAATTAAAAATACTAGATTATAAACATATATGTGTGTAATATGATATAAATAGTAATAACATATATATTTAAATATAATTATAAATTTCGTAGTATATGTCAAGACCCTCTGGAGAAAAAGTCTCCAGTTCATAGGCTTATCTCATCTCAGATTTTTTTTTTTTTTTTTAAATGTGTTCTCCTTTCCATGATTTTCTTACATTATGGATCCCTATAAATTGAAGGCATTTGGGGTTTCCAATATGCACTATTGCAAAATGTGCAGATACCAAATGATTAAAAATGTAGTTTTTAATATTTCAAATGTGCTCTCCAATTCTTGTTTGTAATGGCCTCGTGGTTCTCCCCACATATTTAAAAATTCACAATCACAAGTTAAGAGGTAGATCACGTTATTCATGTCACTAGTTTCGTCTATACCATATTTTTGTCCAGTACTTTTAGAGACTAATTTGATGGTCTTCTTATTCTTAATTGTTGTCTCCCTGCACGCTGGGTTACTTGTGATGTGAGTAGTCTCACCATAATAGAGCACGAGAAGGGATGTGAGGCTCTTGAATTCTTTTTAAATGAATAAAATAATTTTAAATCAGGAACAAGTGTTTTTATAGTTGAAAGGATTCGTCTAATTTTAAACCATTATTTTTTTTTGGTTTGAAGGAGATTTTTATCTGCAGAAAAGAGTCGCCGCTATGGGGACCAGGTTAGCAACCGGTTATGGTAACTTGTTTATGTCCTATTGGAAAAAGAAATTTACTATGTGCATGACTGGTAGACATGTGCAATTTGTTTCATTCCAAATTTTAATTCGGACGAATTTCGGCAATTTGGACATTTCAATTGTCGAAGTGCCGAATTTCTGAAGTGCTTCGGATTTCTGAAAAGTGACAAAACAGGAGAGGGAGGTAAAATTTAGGGAATGATGACAGGAATCTAACCCTACCCCTACACCTAACCCTACCCCTAACTTCCTATAACCCTAGTAGGGTTAGGGATAGGATTAGGGGTAGAGGTAGGGTAAGGGTTGATAATAGGGGTAAGGTTATGGATAGGGTTTGGGGTAAGGTTATGGGGTAGGGTTAGAGTTGGGGTTAGGGTTAAGGTTAGGGGTAGGGTTAGTGTTAGAAGTAGTGGTTAGGATTAGAGGTAGGGTTAGGGTTATGGGGTAGGGTTAGAAGTAGTTTTAGGGGTAGGGGTAGTCATCCCTAATGACTTGATGGCAATTTTGGTCCAGTATAGAAGATATATAGATGACATCTGGTGCACTGTCCACCATTTTGTGTGTTGTTATTGGTTCCTTAGGCTTCCAATATCACTTCTATGCGGATGTCACACACATCTATCTGTCTTCCCTTACTCTTTCTCCTTCCCTTTTGAACCATGCCCAAGACTACAGCGCTGCTATTGCAAATTGATTGTCAGCTCACTTCCTTAAACTCAATCTCTCCAAAACAGAACTTCTCATCTTTCCTCCGTCAAACGTTGCTACTCTTGTTTCTATTTCCCTCCAAATCAATGGCACAACTATCCAGTCGGCCTCAAAGGCCTCGGTGTTCACCTTAATTCCATCCTCTCCTTCAATTCACATAATCAGTCAATCACCAAATCATGTTGTTTCCATCTCTAAAACATAACTTGCATCCACTCCTACCTAACACCAGATGTGGCTTGTTCATGCTGCTCACCACGACGACTATCCATGGTCTTTTGCACTCCCAGCTCACTTCACTACAGCTCATAATTAATTCACGGCTCATCTTCCTGTCTTCCATCACCTAATAAACCTCACCCCATATTGTTTTTTGGCTTCTTGTAAAATATAGGGCTCAACTTAAAACTCTGGTTCTCACTTAATCTCTTCATAAAATGGTTTCTGTTTACCTATGCTCACAAATATAAAAGTATGTCTCATCCATGCCTCCATGATCTGTAAAATAACTATTATCTGTTCATACTTGAACCTCTGAATCTTGTCTCCCTGTTCACTTACACTCTCAACTAGTCTCCATTTCTTCAAAAAGTCACTGAAAATTCACTTGTTCTAGAAGACATATAAATTAAAATGCTAACAGCTTTTCCTCCCCGCACCCTATTATCCCATTTCAGTCTGATTTCCAATGGAATAGGTTTACTCTGTAATAGCACAAGTGAGCAAAAGCTATTTTGATATCTGTGCAGGGATTTATCAAGGGGCAAGCTATTGAGTTTCTCTAAGCTTTTGTCAATTCCCAAATTCTCTGCTTTTGTTGCAATGCATTAACTTGGCTCTCCTCAAGTTAAAAGGGTAATCCAGACATGGTCCCACACTTAGTGTGCCAAGAATGGTATCAACTATACCTCACTGACAAGGCCCAAGGAAGGCCAAAACGATTTTCTGTATCCTTCATGCTGTAACATATTTATCTTCACCTTGTGCCACTCAGCAGCTATGCACCAATATACCTGACTCCTGCAACATGTTGGTGGATGTTGGCCGCTGCATATCTATGCCATTTTATAGCCCCACGTCCACCCACGGCAATGACATCAACGTGCTTGTGACGTCACGCAAAAGACGCACACGCACGTTCTGGGGGTCAAAGGCCGGTTACGGATCCATAGGAGGCTTATTTAAAAACATTTTTACTTCTTCTCATTGTCCTGTCATGTTTTCCCTTAGTAGGTTATCCGAGCGTGTGTTCCTGAGCATTTATTTCTGGTTACTGACTTTGGCTTAGTTTTGACTTCCCTGTATTCTAGTATACTTGACTTTTGGCTTTCCCTCTTGTTGTGTCTCCTCTGACTTCAGCAAGTATTCTGACTATTCTCTGGTACGTTAAGTCCGGCCATTCTAAGGCCGGTTAGACATTACCTTTAGTCCTAGGTGTGATATAATTCTGCATGCTGGATCTACTAGTAATTACTAGTCTTAAATTAGAGGGACAAAGGTTTAAAAATAATATCAGGAAGTATTACTTTACTGAGAGGGTAGTGGATGGATGGAATAGCCTTCCAGCTGAAGTGGTAGAGGTTAACACAGTAAAGGAGTTTTAGCATGCGTGGGATAGGCATAAGGCCAGGGAATAATGAAAGTATTTAGAAAATTGGGCAGACTAGATGGGCCGAATGGTTCTTATCTGCCGTCACATTCTATGTTTCTATGTTTCCTGACATTACGGCATGGCCATAGATCCTGCAGAATTGTGTCAGCACATAGCAGTTTGCAAGAGAAAGCTAGAGGAGAATGATCACCATATGGTCACGAGTCTCATATGCAATGGAATAGGTTCACTCTGTAATGGTACAAGTGAGCAAAAACTCTGTATCGAAATTTGCTTTTTTTACATTCGTATTTAACCCTCCTTCCATATTCAGCTGAAGGCTAGGTTGCGCATTTACTGCATTCCAGTTTGGGAGAATCTCCCTTCTCCAATATCTGGCTAATTACATTTTGGCTGCCACCAATGCGTGAATAAAAAGAAATACTTTGGGTTGAGATTATGTTTAATTAGATTTAAATGTAACAGGACCACTTCCAGGAAAAAAAAAAAAAAGTCTATTCCTGTTATCAATTTAATCTGAACCAAAAAAGTCTGCCAAAATCTCTGCAGAGGATAGCACCACCACCAAGTAAGGAAGATATCGCCTTTTCTTATATATCTCCAACATGAGTCCAACATGTCGAGCCGGCTAGAGACCAAATATAATTGTTTAAGGATCTTAAAGGGTAACTCTGTTAAAATTATACAATTAATGGATTTAGAAACTGCTGTCCAAGACAGTTTTCATTCTTGTAATGAAATCTTTTTGTTTAAATTCTTTTCCCAATGGTAGGGAATATAAAGATTAGCAGCTGAGTATTTCAGTAACGTGTTGAATTTGCTTAAAAGATTCTTCATATCTTTCCCTTTTATTAAGCTTCCAAATTATGAAATTCTAAATTTTCTTTAGGTAAAAAAGTATTCAAATCCATTTATTCAGATTGAAATATTGAATATTATAGGAGAAGATTAAAATCGGCAAGGAGCATCTTCTAAGCTTTATATTTCTTTATATATTTACCCAATTCCCCCTAACTTTTGCTGATAGAT